TTTGTGTGTATGTGCTTACACTATAGAGCATTTTATAATTGTATTCAACAAATATTGGACACTTATATACTCTTGTTTTAGAATGAATTGTGATGGTCTATTAATAAAAATAATAATTATTTTTTGTTTAAAAATTAATTTAATAGGTATTAATTAAGGGTACATTTATTTATTTATTATAAAAGTACAATAGTATTTTAGAAGTTAGTGTCCTGAAACTTTGTTTGTATAATGCTTTTGTCATTTAATAAAAATTTCAATATTACCCATATGATGACAAAAGTATCCCTATTCTTTCTTTCTTTCTTTGTACTAAATTTTAATAAATGACAAGAGCATTTTATAAACAAAGTTATAGGACACTGATTTTTAAAATACAATTGTTCTTTTATAAAAAAATTTAAATTTATCAATTATTGTCAATTTACCTATTAAAATAAGTTCTAAACAAAAAGTAATAATTTTCCTGATAAATGCACCTATTACAACTCATGCCACCATTATTCTGCGCTATTTTGAGGGTTGTTAACCCTAGACAAACGTATATTTATATGTATGTGTGTAGCATGAGACCGTCTATTTTAGTACAAAGAGGTCTCAATCATTTGTACCCATTAGATCTGAGATATAGTAAGATTGAAACATGTACTTTGGCGTTTATGCCCAATCGAAGACATATCTCCAACCACCCGATTTCACATCCAGTGCTTAATGACAACCGTAACATTCTTACATGAAATTGGTCTCATTGTACAGATTTCCTTATAAAAAAAATGGTTTAAATCTGAAGTCCTATGAGAACATTAGAAGATCAATTTGCAAAAGATAAAAAAGTGTATTCAAATGGACAAGAATCAAATGCTATTAAGAAAAATAGTAAAGCAAAAAGCGCTCAAATGGAAGTTTTGAAGAGAAAAAGGAAAATTTCGAGCCAACAACAAGGGATGAGTCAAAAGATTGGGGAGCCTGCTCAAACTCACCATGCTTACCCATCGCCCTCGCCAACACCCTATGGCGAGTATGCTCAACCTCGCCCTTGCCCTTGCCCCTCACCCCATGGCGAGCCTACTCACCCTCAGCTCGCCATCACCCCACACCCTGCTCACCCAAGTCGTCATGAATAGTATGTGTCCCTCGCCCGCACCCAAGTTGTCCTGAGTAGTATGAGGCTTACCCACCTGAATCATCTTGCATCTATATATGTGAGCTGGACAACACCATGGGGAGCACTCAATATGCCTGGCCTAATTTGATGATAAGTTTCAGTCACACCATGTGCGAAGTCAATGATGTTGCTGATGGGCTAGCTAAACATAGTGCTTCTCTTCCTTTTTTACAAGTTTCTAACGTTTTGATCCAATTTTTATAATCTCATGCTCTTTAAGCATCGCTTTAATAAAAGTTCATAACATTGTAACAAAAAAAAAAAAAAAACACTCAATGTAATGTATCTTTATATTACTTGAGAAAAAATCCATATTTCTTTACTAACTAGCTTGTATTTCTATGCTATAAAGAAAGTCCTAAATCAACCCCAACCCAAAGAAGTTGAAAAATAAAGAGTTTTGGCCCTAGGGTAATGCATCTGTTGACTCATCAAAAACTATTTTTTTGTTTCTTAATTTCTTTGTATATTCAATTAGGAAAAGAAAGGGATTGCATACTATAAAATCATTTACCTTTGGTATTTCGAAATCATTCTTAGCTTGTGGATGTGATATTTAATGGATTGAAATGTATTACGACATTCGAGAAATTTTGTTTTGGACATTGCGTCTAGTCGACATCACATTCTCAACCACTCAATTTTACATCTAACGATCGACAAATAGTTGTGACCTCATTGGACCAAAAGTAAATAGCCTCATTGTATGCATTTATGAAAAGAAAAGGGGTGTGTCAATTTGGTCCTTCCCGTTTCAAATCGTATGTAAATGGTCTTCTGATTATCGGAACTCATTCTTTTTTGTTTGTGTAATTGTCTACCAAGATGCCAGTCCATATTGGAATTGCTCAGTCGTTAATATGATTTTGGGAGCTCTAAAATTATGCAATTTCAATATAAATATATTTTTTAACACCTCGTTGAATCGGCCGATCTGGGTAGAAGTCACTTGTCCAAATGATTTTGATCCAAATCAATCTAGTCCAACTGCAAACTCATTCAATAGGCCGATCTATTTTTTTTACGATGCAGATTCTATAATACCTAGGTTTTATGAAAACAAAGTAAAGCCTCACCTTGAATCCTCATTTGGAAAGCATTTTAAAGCATGGACAATCTCCATGATGGCTCTAAAATTAATTTTCAACACCGACTATGAATTTTGAAGCCTAAAAAATGATACAGATCTTGCGGATCCTTGAACACTTGTTTTTAAGGCAAAATGAATTGTCTAAAGAATGTATTATAATGTATAATATTTTTAAGGCTTGAAATCCTAATTTTTTTTATATACATAATGATCAAGGCCAAGATGATTGATTTGAAGGTTTTTCGAAGCTAAAACTACAATTTGTTGCGAGTTTTGTAATGAGGTTTTACCTATTTCAAAAATTATAAAAAATATATCTTAATTTTTGGATTATTGAAAATAAAGCCCAAACCTATCCATATCTTTTTTTGGGGTGAGTAAAAGAAAATAACCTTCACGGTAGTCTAGAATTGTAAAGTTATCATGGTCTATTGAAAATTGTGATAGTCATCATGGATTGTAAGTCAAATATAGTTTTGAAGTATAATGACACTTAAAGAACCGTGACGGTTCATTGAACTACACAATTCTAATTTAACTGTTATCCTCTCTTACCTTACCTAAGCATCTCGACTTTTTAAGTGCGGTGATGCCTAAATGACGATCATGACTTTTTAAGGGCCGTGATGCCTCTTAACAACCATCAAGGTTGTTTAAGGGCCGTGATGCTATAAAACATTAAAACTGCCAATGATCATCGCGATAATGAATATATGGTGATGAGTTCACGTTTATAGGACTACCGTAAAAGCTAATTTGATAAAAAAAATAAAAAAATTTAAAAAAATAGGTATGGTTGAGATTTTGGGTTTATATCCAATAATCAAAATATTAAAATATATTTTTGATAATTTTCCTACTTATTTTGCACAGCCCTATAAAAACATATATATTTTTATTTTTAACTTAGCTCCTTATCAAGGAACGACTCCTACTTTGAAAGGATACAAAAGTCATTATGGAGTTGTAAAGGACATGTGAGCACCCATCTCTTCTCAAGTGGAAGACAGGATGGACTCGATAGCTAGTAGGGGTACTTCAGTAATCTAGGTCACCTAGGCTCTGAGATAAAAAGGAAATTCCAAAAAAAAGTTAAAAAAGGGGTATTGTAGTAATATCTGGAAAAGAGCAAGGGTAGCGTAAAGCTAACAATATTTTCTTTTACAAAAGGCAGTAGCAAGAAAAAGCGGCCAAAAAATAAAGAAAAAAGGGCCCCGAAAAAGCTTTCACACTTTTGCGGTGTCGTGTAACGGCTCCCAAGGCCTGAAGAAACACGAATGGACGTGACACTTTCAGCGGTTCCACGTGAGAATCCGAGGATAACCATCTAAAAAACCCATTTTTTTAGTGATTTATAGGCCTTAGAATCCCTCATGTCAACCCCATTTTCATCATAAACAATTGATTTTCTGATTCCATGAGTATTTTTAATTGTGGTATGGCCTAACCCCACCAAGATTTGCAGAGAAAAATGGGCTTTTTTGACTACTTTTTTAACAAATATTCAATCCAAATCCCAAAGGAAATCAAGCCTTTTTTAATATAAAGGATTGATTTTCTATGTTGACAATGTTTAGCTCTGAATTTGGTTGGTTTTGAGCAAATTGACTGATTTTTCAACATTAAACAAATGGGTTATTGGATTCTTTATGTTATTTAGGTTTAGGAGGCCAAACCCACTTAGAGTTTTCAAAGAAAAAGTGGTTTATGACGGGAAAAACACAGTTTTCTTGCTCTGAAAGCCATATGGACCAAACTCATTTTTCCCACAGAAAAATGGGTTTTCTTAGTTTTTTTTATTTGACTCAAGATCTCCTACTGGTTTTTAAGAAAAACCCGTGTGGTGGAGAAGTTGCAGAGGTTTAGGGTTTTCATAGCCACCATGTACTGAGAATCTGGCCTGAAATGGATCCTGAAAGTGGTAGCTTTTACACCTGCAAGAAACATCCATCTCAGGCATTCACTGGTTTTTGTTCCACCTGTCTTCTTGAAAGGCTTTCCAGTGTTGATCCAGCTGATCGGACATTAAAGCACTTGTCAAGAGCTGAAAGGGACGAACTTCTTGATGGGAAAAGCCTTGAAAGCAATGGATTTTCCTCTGCAACTGATGAGGCTGGAGCAAAGGTAGAGTACCCTTTTACTCAATCACAGAGGAAATCATGTGAGGTTAGGGAGAGAATCACTTTATTGTCTCTTTTTCACATGAATGATAATGATGGTGAACATGTTACGAAAAGTGAAAGTCAGGGTGAGGCTTTGACTGCAGATAAAGCTGGGGTTTCTTCTTTTAATGGTTATGAGAGTACTGAGGGGGTTAAAACATATGATAATGTTAATGGGTTTTCTCTGATTGAGCATAAAACAGGGGTGTCTTCTTCTAATGAGAGGCCTGAGACAGTTAAAGAGGTTAAACTAAATGCTGATGGATTCTCTCTGATTGAGGACAAAAAAAGAGTTTCTTTTACTAAAGCAGGGGTTTCCTCTTCCGCTAGTTTTGATAAGGGGGTTGGAGCAGATGAAAATTTTGATGCGTCCTCAGATAGGGTTTGTTCTGTTAATGGATATGGCAATGTAAAGGGAAGAAAAATAAATGATCTTTTTCAAAGAACTGAGGTTGGGCGAGATGTTGATTCTGAAATTGGTGTTTCTGGTGTCACTGATGGAGGGGGAGGAAAATATGGGATTTTGAGAGAGAAGAATATGTCATTTTGGTTGGCTACAATTTTGTCTAGAAAGCTGCAGAAATGGAAGGTTAGGTCTAAAAGTGATAAGAGAGGAAACCACAGGGGAAGAGCTTGTGATGCATACTCTGAAACAATGGTTGAATGCAGGGGATCATGTGATTGTAGAGCTTCCATTGATTCCAGTAGTGCTTCTTGGGAGGAGACAAGGCACTCATGGGATAGCAAATTTTATTTGAAGCCCATCGATTTGAATGGAGTAAACAGGGACATCCCTGGTTTTCCTTCAGAAACTGGGGATTCTTTCTTGGAGTCTTCTCCCTTACAGAGTAGAAAAGTAGGTCTTAATGAAAACAACAAGCTAACAGATCTCAAGCCATGCAATGACATGAGAAACATCACCAAAGTTAGCCCTAGCCCACCAACACTGGATGATGATCTCAAGCCAATCTCATCAGAGGCTGTTCTCCGAAGTCCTTTGAGAGAGAGCCAAAATCTTGTATCACACTGTCAAGGATTAACTGGTTCAAACCAATCAAGAAAATCTCATGGATGGGGAAAGGGATGGAGCCGCACCTTAAGTAGCCCAATTTGCGGTTTTGTTCAAAAACACGAGACCAATAATGCTGAATTTTGTGAGAGGCGAAATGTGTTGGAGCGATCCCTTTCTGGGTCTTGGCAGGAACTGCAGAGAGAAAACCACAGAGAGAGAAACCGAGCTCATCCTTCTAGGGGAGACTTTCAAAGCTCTAGTAGTGTGAGTTCTAGGACTTTACATAGTGTCAAGAGCAATGGAGGTGGCAATCAGAAAAAGTTACAGGGGCTTCAGCCCAATTTGCAGAAGAAGGATTTTATATTTGGTCGGAGCCGAAGTGTTCACTATGCCTCTCCAAGTTACATAGACAGTGGACTTCTTCGCTTTTACTTGACGCCTTTAAGGAGCAGTAGAAAGAAAGGTAGAGTGAGATCCTCACGTTCTTTTAGCAGAGGCATCATGGGTTTCTGTTGATAATCATGAGATAATGTAAGGACTTATTGTCTCCTATCTGGACTTGTTATATTGCAAACTCTGAAAATATGAAGATTGAAGAATTTGGCTAATGGGAGAAAGGAATATAAGAGGTTTTCGTATAAAAGCCTATCTGTATCTCTGAAGATAGAGAAGGACAAACCCACTTTGTGATTCTCAAACATCACATTCGCTCTTCAAACTCGAAGTATTAATATTTGATACCATTCGCTCTTCAAACTCGAAGTATTAATATTTGATATTACAAAGCTTTATATGAGGTATTGATATGTATAAAAAAAGTTGGCTTTCTTTTAGAAGCTTGTCAAAATATTAATGTGCTTACAGTTGATAAGATTTTGAAAGAAATGTGATCTTTTAATTATTCTGTAGGTCTTTGTTCTTTGCTGGAACTTAACTCCATTAATTGCTTTCTATGGGTATTGATAATATATTGATGAGGCAAGTAGTAATTATGAGTTCATTAGAACTTTTCATAGAGGTCTTGTTCATTGCAATTTGGCATATTTGACATGGAATTATTGTTCTGACCATGCATTTCTTGTCTACGTTTAAGACAAATTATATTATAATTTATTTTTTCAAAGCCAGAGGGTAAGTTAGTCGTTCACTATCTTTGCTTCTGGTTTTAGTTGGATTTGAACTTATTTTTTATGAAAATTTTCTGGGGGCTGGACCAGCCGAATTGATGATCTTTTAGAAGGAAGGTTTATATTCGTACATTGTGATCTTTCCTATTCATAGTTTCCAAAATTTCTGATTACTGATTGTCTCTAGATTAGTGAAGTCCATTTTTTGCTTTAACTTATCATTACTTTTGAATGCTTTCATCTTTGGCATGATATCATCAATTTATTGCCATTGATTTAGAAGAATTTTCCAGCATCTCATTGGAATAAGGGAATCTTTGGCTGAAGGGAAATACTCTTTGAGCAAATAAAGTGTTTTGGAGAGGTGAAAATTTGCTATCGATGTTTGCAAAATTTGTAATTCACGCTCAACCTTTTCCTTCTATTTTTTTTTTTTTCTAAATTTATCCATGGTTGATTTAATTGATAATTTTTTCCCCAGTCCTAAGAATTTTTGTGCATCTTAACTAGTAGATGTTTCCAGTAGTTGCTTGGGCATGCCTTCTAGCATTTGGGAATTCCTACTGTATCATTGAATTTGTAGATAATCATAGTAGCTTGAAAGACTTGGACCTTGGCGATCTAGTTAGCTTCATGCGCTTGAATCATTCAAGAGAAAATATTCTCTAACTATCAAAGAATTATATAAGTCACATCCTTTTGCGAGGTGGCACCCTCATGCTTCTTTTTTATCGGTCACGAGGTATCAAACGAGCTTCGAGAGGTGGTAGCCGAGAACCATAAACTCTTAAAAAGTGATCGAACCTGGAATCAAGTTTCCTTTTTGAGACCACGGGAGAGCTAGAAGCTAGTCAAGCTTGCTCTTCCTTGTTGGAGGAAAGATAGAATAGGTGCAACCAAAAATATCATGGACTGATTAGATGTCTTTTAGGTAGCAATTTCAAGATAATGTCATTGTCTTTCGATTGATCCCACGATGCAACCTCAGTGTTAGAGAGAGGATGCTGGCATAAAATGGAAATCCAATGCTTTCAGACTTACGAGAAAAAAAAAAGGATCTATTATCCATTTTTCTGATAATAACTTATGAAGTATGTGCATCCATAGCTAATGATAGATCTCTCTATATGGCACATTTGATAACTGGAAAATTCGGCTTCCAAGGCTAGAAATTCTAGGTTACTGAAGAATTTCCTTGTTTTATAACAAGGAAGTGCTACAGGAAATGAGAAACTGGAAGTACGGGTCTTGAAAAGAAGAGGATCCCGAACTTTTGCCCTCCCTGTAGAGAAGTGGGCTTAGGGAAGTTCGCTTCTCCGATTTCATAAAAACCCTGGCCATTTTTTCCTCTCTTCTTGTTCCTCTCTCTCCTTGCCATTGCTCTTTCTTCTCTCTCTCCTTGCCGGTGCTCCCTCTTCTCTCACCCCCCACCCTGTATATTGCCCTTCTGTCTCCCTTGAGCTCTCTCCACTCTCTTTTCGGGCTCTCTTCTCTGTGATCCCACATCTGTATGAAGTTGTGAAGCTGTCTGCGAAGCCTGAAGCACTTTGCAAAGCCTTGTGAAGCGCACTTTTGAGTTCAACTCCCCCATTTTCTTCAACTCCCCCATTTTCTTAGTCATTTTCAGGTAAGATTCTCATCTTTACATTTTGATTTCTATAATTTCTCTGTAATTTCTTAGATTACATTGTAATTTCTTTGAAGTTTCTCTTATTTCTTTGTAATTTCTCAGATTTAACCTGTAATTTCTTGATTTCTCAGAAACCCACTCATTCCTTTCACACACACTTTCTGAACACCCTCTTATTCTCCCTCACTCACTCTCTTTCTCCCAGTAAATTCTTACTCCATTTCCTTTTTTTACGCATGTTCTTTCTTTTTTTGTATTTTTAGCTTTGATTGTTCCCTGATTTTTTGTTGTATTAGTGCATTTTTTTGTTTGGTGCTTATTCCAGTGGTTTATGGTTATCAATTTGATCCAAAATGGACGGTTTTGATCATGGGTTTGAACAGTATTGAGTCTGAGTTTTTATTCTTCTTATGCTTCATCCAGTGTTTCATGTGTTTAATTTGATCCATTTTGAGCTTCGTTCATGGAAAAATTGTAGCTTAAACCTATTTTAATTTTGTTCAGGAGATTTTATTATTTATATGTGATCATAGTGTGCACCCTAATTTAAGCTGATCTATTTTATGCATATTTGATCCATTTGACTTTTACTACCTGCTCAAGTTTCTCGTTTCATTTTTTCTCCTTTAAGCTTACTTTTTCTTTTTCCCTCTTGCTGGACTACCGGTAGTCATGGTCACCGATCAACATGGAGAAAACTCATGAAATAACTCCAAGTAACCCAGCCAAAAATTTGTTTAATTTTTGCAGTCAGGTGCATGTTTCTCACCTCCTTGAGAAGATCTGTGGGAGTCCAGCCTTTAAAAGAGCACAAGTCAATTGAATTAACATGGACTGATTGCCCTGGCTTGCTCTCCAAAGTATGTGCAGTCATAATTCTGAGATCTGGACCTATAATTCAAGAGCTACAACATTTGTTTGAGTCACTGATGTTTATACAGGAGCTCCATTGATGACCCAAAAAGGCTATCTTATTAGGGAGCTTTTGTGCAATGTATAGAAAGGGAACAACACTCAGTCGAGCTGCGAAATCAGTGGGTATCAAATGAGGTTACTCTCACAGAGAGGAGGCTTCATGAAATGATGTTTGCATAGGGACATTGTTAAACTGCAAAAGTGGTTCCAATCAAACAGATCTATAAATGCATGAAAATATTGAAAATGGACAGTCTGAATGTCTCTTTTCCATATATATACATCACAATGTCAAGATGATTATATGTTATTTCAACATCAAAATAACCTGTCTGGAATGATTTTAGAGGTGTACCTTAATTCTACGATCAAAACTAAACTTTATATAATCTTTATCATATATATATATCGAGATTTATATATGTGAAAA